CAGTCTTCATGAAGATTTGCATATTAATGATCATGAAACTGACCTACAGCCCATAGTTCGTTAGTAGTGCTAGTTTCAGTCATTATGCAAATGTACCGTTTATAAGGTTGGGGAAACCTGCGACTGAAAAATTCTCTTGGATGAGTGGAAAAACCGTTCTCCCACTGAAAACACTACGTCCAGATAAACAGAATCAACTTTCTGGCATTATCATTTTACCTGGTTTGCTCTTACCTCTACATTACAAACAGACATTAAATTTTACAGAATGTGATCTTAAATACTGTTCATCATTATAATGGACTTGCAGGAAAGTGCTAAGAAGTGCTTGACCTTTAAGCGATGTTCACATTGGAAGGGACAAAGTTTCATTATTGCTGAGCATGGCCTGCTACACTGTCAATGAATTGCTAACAAAATATTGTTAAATCCTCTGAGGTTGAAGATGTTAACTTCTATCTTTCGGATGCAAGCAAAAAGCACTTTTCTGGAAGAAAAAGTTTTGACACGTCCATTAAATTCATTGATGTTCTTTGTCTCCTGATTGCCAGAACGTAGGAGAACAAGTTTAACAAGAACATGATATGTAGCACAAGGATAGGGTCAGAGGTGACAAAAGCACAGACATCCTTTATTTAAGTAGTATAGATACTAGTATCAAAAATACTCTGGTAGAAGATGAAGTACCAATTCAACTTCTTTACTCAAGTAAAATAAAAAAGTATAGTTCTGAAATGTACTCAAAGCAAGAAAGTAAAAAGTAGCTCTTTGAAGGACATTACTACCAGCTATTCTTTTGTGAAGGACCTGGCACTTTGGGGTTATTGGAATGTGTGTGCGCTGTTAGACATAAGATGCATAAATTATGTATTTTTGGTTATTTAATATCTTTCTATGCAATAATCCACAGTAATGGATATAGTAACAGGATTGTCACATCACTGGATGTTTGGCATGCAGTGATGTGAAACAATATCTTCTCTTAAATGAGTCAAACCTAAAGAAACGAGGCTGTTTTGACAATCTCAGGAGTAGAAAGTAGATATTTGTGGAAAAAAATGCATGTTTGTTGCATGTTTGTTACATGTTTGTTACGTCTTACGTGCTTCATATTATCCATCAGTTTGTGTGTGTTTTACAAATATGGAAGCATATGACCCACTGAAGTCTTGGAAAAAGCTGAAACTTTATTTGTTTGCATGTGTCAGTTTTTAACTTCCATTGAAAGTGTGACTTGAAGCCAACTGCCTTTTCACAATAAGAGCCACAACAGCTACACTATTGGGACATCTAGTATATGAACTAAGGAAGTCTCCTTTAAAGTGGTGAATGTTATAGTCTCCTCCCCCACAGACTGCTGCAGGCTCAATATGATAAAATACATCACAAGCTAGGCTATGCCTGTTACTATGGCGACATGCTGCTGCTCTGATGACACCTCTGGACAGGGGATATGGTGAGGAGTCATAAAGACACTCCATACCTGTAGAGTGTTGTCTTAGTGTCACTTAAGATGTCGCGGTAGTGTCAAATCAATAGAAAATTATAAATGTGTAAGAAAATCACTGCTGAAGTGATCTGTCACCTAAAAATGATCTTGAAAACATTTTTGAGGACCATAAAACTCTTCATTAAGACATTTAAACATGTGCTGTTTTGGTTTCTACTTTTAAGATTTTGAGTACTGAATGCTTGAAGAAACAACTTCAGCCATTCAACCTCAACTATGTAACTTGAACATTAATAAACAGTCACATAACAGTAAAATGTATTGTTTAAATATACGATTTAACCCCCTTTGTAGCGCAGTAATTTAGTTAATTGAAAAAGTAATAATAATATAAAGATTAAGAAATGAAGATAAAAAATAAAAAAGGAAAAAACTGCAACCCTAGATAATAAATAGAGATTGTATAACTACAAATATCTACTGAGTTGTGCCATATACTTTCAACATAAAACCCTAAAACTCTCAAAAAAGGTGAAATAGCAGTGATCAGATTGTGCCATATTAAAATATGCTTTCCCTACGTGACTAAAAAAAAAATTCCTGCATACAGATGAATTTACAGCACAACATGTGTCATATGTTTAGAAAAATTCAGTGAAAGAAATGTAACTGCCAGGTTTACTAATATAAATGATACACAAAGTACGTCACCATATTAGTATACCTCGTATACAGCCAAAAATCTGACCTCACAACTAAGCTTTACAATGATTAAATTCACGATTTACTGACATATCACATCATTAGCCACTGGCCTTGTTATTTAAGGCTAACGGGTTAATAAACTCGGTTTATGTCACCACAAACTATGCATTTTCTTTGTATTTCTAATTATACAAAGAAAGTTGATGGCACTTTCAGGCAACAGAAACTTTTTCATTTATAATTTTTTAAAGAGGAAAACCTTAGCTCCCACTTTAGTGTCAGGACTGTACAATACAATACAAACCTTACCTTAGGTTTATATAGTTATAAGCATAATGTATTGACGCAACACTGGTCACTGACATTATATAACTGCTTACATTTTAGCTCTGAAAGCAACCTGTGGCTCTTAAGATGAAACTAAAATTTGAGAACCTGACTGACGCTAAAGTTCAGACTTTACGCTACAAAGGAAACACAATGAAATTTTAACTTTTTAACACTATAAAATCTTTGCAAGTGTTTTCTCTTAACCAACTGGTGCCTCAACACAGACAAAATCAGTACAGTGAAAATATAGAGATGCAGGTAATACAGGAACAAAAAATCTGTTAGTCAGGCTTTTAAAGGCTATCCCGAGCTGCAGAGCGCCAAGGCCTAGTGGCACATTAGAGAAAATAGTCCCTTGTAATTTTATGTTACTGTGCAAAAGTCTTGAAGCACCTCTCATTTCTTCTTATTTTGTTTCCAAGCAGCTACACTTTCTTGTGATATTTTAAAACGCTCTTGAACAATGGTGCTCCAGACTTTCTGAGTCTTTCATTGCACAGTGGCTGCTTTTTCACTTATTTTCAGAGGAATGTTTGTTGTGTTTGTTAAGCCAATTATCACTGACTTGTGAATCAGCACAGTGTCTACACATAACTGAGGGGAAAAAACTATTTTAAATTGTATTTTTTGGCAGAAACACAAAATTTGTTCCCATTTCTTTAGTTGAGTCTACAAAAAAATGATGCCAAATATAACACAGCTTAACAGACATAAACTAGTATTTTAGCACCACCACCACCCATTCAGTTACTTTCATTAACGGACAAAATCCCAAAGCTCCAATCATGTCTTCCTACAACCTTTTGTTGTAGCCAACCTGTTGCGAGCACACAACTTCTAGCTGGCTAATACATCACATAAACATTCTTACTGATGTAAACTAAGAGAAATAATAACTAAAGGTAAGATGTTCTCCCAGTAGGTTGTTACCTTCAGGTAATCCCAACAACTGTGGTCAGGAAGTGCCTTTAGTCACGTGTAAGATAATTTGAATGAGTGCTAGATTTAAAAAAAGAACTACAACTCATTTTTCTTATTAAAAAATATTGAAGTACACCTTTCCACATCCTTTCCTGTTTTTGCATAAAACAAGGTGACATCAAAAAGTTATTATTAAAAGAAATAATAATATGCTCTTTGTAATAGATTGCACTGTTGTCAAAAATCAATCGTATAGTTCAAGATCTAAAACAACAACGTCTTGCTGAGTCGAGGAGTACTATCTGTTAACTTATTGTCCAAATATGTTAAAAATAACAAAAATATGAGTTGTTCTGAACAATATACCCATTGTGCAAAGTTCGAAACATCTCTGATATACAGCAATCTTCTTTGAAAGCTTACACAAACTTACATAAACAAGGACTGCTGGGCCTAACCTTTGCACTGCTGCATTTTGTTGAAAAAAATGTTTTAAAAAGTGCAATAATGCCTTCCTAATTGCTGCACATCACCAAATGTTCATCTAAAAAAATAAACTGTAACAATGTAATGTATAAATCTCCGTTGGATATTCATCACTTGATGCGGTTTATGAATGGATGCAGTATATTTACTTCCTGTCTTTCTTAAATTACAGCAATTTAAGAGAACGTTCTTGATGCTTTCTAATGAAAACACATAGAATTGCATTTTCCTCCTCTCAAAATATAAACGACACAAAAGGTACAGCTGCAAAAACTAGACACCCAAAACAAAAATCCTATAAAATACCACCTGGCAGTGCACTAAAAAGAAGAAAAGCTGCCCAAAATCCTGACTTTAACTCATTTAAATACATGTACATTTCCCATGTAATTACATAAGTACAATGTAAAACAATGGTCTGGTCAAATGAAATGAACTTGATTGTTATACATTCAGTTTATACCGAGCACATTTTCCTTAATGATTAATTATATGAATAAATAAACCTCCGGTTTCATACATTTCGGATGTATTTTCCTTAAAACTCAGCATGGAGCCTACACTTTGGGGAGCACTTCTGTTGCCATCTGTTTACTATGCTTGTCAAAAGTGTTCTCCTACTGTTGCTACTTTCATTAGTGCTCCTCCTCCTCCTCAGAGCCCGGAGGGTGGACAGTTATTATGAAATTATTTTCTATGAAATCCAACAACTGTGTGACTGTGTTCACACAGTTGTTGGATGAAAACATCCTCTGGTCACTAATGTATCATCTGTAGAAGGTGGATTTTGTACACAGTGATCGGGACTCTGTTCAATCAACCCATCAACCCACTGCGTGAGGAGAATATTATTAGTGAGATCAGGTAATAGCACCAAACACACAAGTGAAAACAAAAGTTAAAGGAACAAAACACCACAAAGCATGTTACAGCTTCCTTCAGTATCTATAGGAGCTCCTCTCTGAAATGAAGCCTGTGTGGGCCCTCAGTCGGCTAATTCAAACCCATATTTGACAACATATATGAACGATTTAAAAAGTGGTGGCCTCTGTAGCTAACTGTGTATCCAAGAACAAAGTTATTTTTCGTTTTTACGTCTCCAACTCACCCAAGACACTATGCGGAGAATGGTCTGAGGCTGCTGGAGGAAGGTGACGGGGTCGAAGGCTCCTCCGGCTTTCCCGGCTCCGTATGCCTGCATCCCCTCCATGGTCCTCCTCCTCCTCTCTCTCCCTCCCCGCTGCTGGCTCAAAGGCACAGGGTGTGTGGAGCACCGGGTAACCGAAACGGAAAATCCCCGAAACTGCTCCCTATCACCACCACTGTACTACCGCTGAATCTGCTGGGATGCGCGTCTCCCCCCACCCCCGGTCTCCTTTGGCGACCTGTTCTCTCGTGCTGTTGGTTTTAAATGTACCTCTAATATTTCTCCGTTATGTGTGGGTAAAGAAAGCTTTGTGATGGTGCTAGATAGTGATGCTTCTCCCTTTAGTTCAGCGCAGAAGCCGGTGGCGACCCCGTGAACGCGCCTCCGTTGTCACGCCTCGGACGGAGCGCTCCTCGTCAAAACACCCGAGTAAAAAAAAAGAAAGAAAGAAAAACAGCGACGTACTCAGGACCACTACAGAGAGTCACGCGCTCTTCGTTTATCGACGGTGGGCGGAAAAACAGTGATTAAACCATTAAACCAGAACATGATATTAACTTAATCAACGTTATATGATAAAGTGTGTGAGCTGAAAATAAATATTGGTAAAGGGTTATTTTGTGCGACAGCACTTATTAAAACACTAGAATGCTTCTACACGAATAAACGACAGTATAACAGTACCACCACCCAACAACGTTGAACTCCATGATTGATGGTGCCGTTGGTAGGTGCAATAAATTCCGCCCTCTAGCGGTCTTACCGTATATTGCCTGAATGTGCAAGGACCTCACGCTTGTTTTCTCCTTCCGGCTTTATACGTGATATTGCTCTGTTCTTCAACAAGCTCCATCAATCTTTTGTCAAGTCGGCTTATTGGTGTTATAAATGGTTGTGCACACTGGTATTTACGTTTATACACTGTTTCAGTAAGTTCTGTCTAACACACTCTGCAAAAGTAGCCTTGTGCTTCCTTTACGTCCTCACAGAAAGCCAATGAAAACGCGATTACGCGTTACGTCCACGCCGGCTGGACCAATGAAACATCCCCGTGGCTGGTTGCTAAGAGACGCTTTGTGTCCATGTTCCCGAGGCTGCAGGGAGGATAATCCAACGCATATGGACCGATAAACAGAGAAACATAGCTCGATTAGCTTCAAGAGAGTTTTACCTGACATAGACCGGAAGTCATCCCATGTAATGGTCAAGTTAAGGGCGAGATGTCTGCTGGTCGGTAAGGTTTTCACCACCTGATATGTAAGCAACGGGGGCTAAAGCTAGCCTTTTACTACAGAAACATCCCCAGCCACAGGCTGTGTCCTTCTTATGTTTCAGATTCAACCTACTTGTTATAGGACTGACGAAAAATACAATCCTGATACAATTCTAAATGTGAAAGATGACGTTTGTTGGGTCTATTTTATCATGTAGCTACAGTCATTTAGCTTACACAAACCAATCACTGCCGAGTGATGATGTTTCAACTTAAAGAAATGATGGTGAACCAGACACTAAACTCTAAAACTCCCTGATAATGAGGGGGGTTAATTATGAATTCTGTCGAGAACCAACTCCTTACACACAAATTAAACTATTAATTATTAATTCACAAAAACGACACCGTAAACACAACCACAGGACATTATATTTGTATTCTTCCGTGTGTGTGTGTCTGCAGGAGATGCTGCAGTGGGCAAAAGTGCTCTTTCTCATATGTTCTACAGCGATGGCACTCTCTTCCAGAAGAATTACAGCATGGTGAGAGCATTAACACACAGTCACTGAAAGGCTCATGGTTTGATCCCACAAGTGAAGTGAGTCTTTAGATCAGATGTGTCCAACATAAGGCCATCCTTTCATAAGTTTCACATCTTTTCCTATTAATGCAAAACAAAAGGAATTGACTAGGAGATAAACAACTGAATGATAGAAAAGTGCCTGTTTTTTTCCACACCATCTATAGAAATATGTAACAAAATCAACATTTACTGCGAATTAACAAAAAATGTGTTTTGTAAATACAGGACAGTTTGGTGAGCTACCACAGCTCTCTATGTGATCATTTGTAGTTAAACATCTTTACAATGACAGAAAGTTTTGCTCGTTAGGCGTAAGATCAACGTGTGGTGTGTGTGGCCAATGGTATAAAATGAGTTTGACATCATTGCTTTAGACTAATCTGTAAGGGTTAGGACAGTCTTTTGTTTGGCTCATTGGTCATTTCATTCAGTTTATACAGTGGGGGTATCCGTATTCTCCTGAACGATAGATGTTGCCACTCAGACAAAATTTCCATATTGTCACTGGTACAGGAGAAGTCAAAACCAGAGGCATAGAAGTTATAAAAGCATATTCTTTTTTTCCTCATTTTTTTTTTATTTCTCTGCATAATCTGTGGATCTCCGAGCTCATGTACTGATATATCATTAAAATGGCAGAAAAATACGGCACTCATACCTGCATTGGTTGGATTGCCTGCAGTGCCTCAGGTTCCAAAAATCAAAAGGTACTTGGCCGGCCGGAGCAACACTCAGGTGGTATTGTAGGCAAGTGGATGTGATGTCAGTTTGACATCATTTTTGTCACCTGGCAAATGGCGAGCTTTATTGATGTTACCATGGTAGCAATCAGTGACACCGGTCTGGACCAGTGGCAATCAACACTTGGTGCTTTACACGTGTATAGACATGTGTATATGAAGTTTGGTTTATCTTTAGATAGTTTATATTAGGGGTGTCAACATAAGACTTCAGGGGCCAAAATCAGCTTGGAAAAGATTGCAAACTGGCCCACTAGAGGGCTTTGAAAAATTTAAAATAAGGAATAAATTTAATAAGTTTTACAGCTTTTCCTGCTGGTAAAGACCTCCCCCGTGGCCATTCATACTACACCTATACCATTTAATTACTTACTTATAACCAATTAATTACTATAAGTGAATAAGTAATAGATAAATGGTTAATTTACAGAAAAGTTTCAGTTTTTCACTATTGACTGTTGACTTTGTTTTTGTTTTTTTTTGGTCTTTATCTCATAGAAAAACTGAGACATAGGGTTGAAATTGCTCTTCTTTTTTAATATTAAGATTTCTCCGGGCTTAAATGTGTAGTTAGAATTCTTTACACAGACAGAAAGGATTTTTTCTGGTTTGGCTCACTGAAGATCATAATTAGTTGAATGTGGCCATGTAAAATGAGTTTGGCATCCCTGGTTCATATAGAGGAGCTGCTATACTTTGTGTATTTAAGTATACACTTGGTCCGATTCACTAATTTTGTTGTGTAAGGATGAATGTGAGGCTCGGAGCGTATGTCAGCATGCCTTTCAGTTTTTGCACCAATGTACCAGCTATGGATATGTCCTTCACGTGGACTTCAAGCAGGCTTGAACAAAGTATAATAGAATGACTACTTGTCTGTGACATCTGCAGCAGTCCACATCTGAGAAACTGCCCCCTGGTGTAGCACTGTCACATAACACAGAGAAAGCGAGCCCAATGCCAGAGATACTGCAGTGTATGTGGGGTAGGCAGCATAACATGTCTTATAACAGTAAGTAGGGATGTGTTGTACTCCATTCACACAATCAGCAGAGGAATGGAGCTGTAAAACAAGTTGTTCAGGGATTTACAGATCGGGGTGTACTCCGTGACTAGCCACAGGCTTATGTTTTTGTATTCAGGCTGGGTAAGTGAGGTGAATTGGGTTTGAAGGAGCAGCTCATGAAGTGCAATGCTGGCTCACTGCCAGCACAGAATAGATAGTAGTTTGTAGGGAATAGCGTTATCTGTGTGCTGTGAAGTGCTCAGAAATCCAGGCGTTCAGTCCTGCCTGACACTGCAGCAGCTAATCAGCATGTAATTGGCAAAATGTGCTTCTTTAGTAGGCACACTTGTTCTGATAACTAGTATTAACCTTCCTGAGACCCATTAAGGTCTTAGAACTCTACATGTATTTATAGATATAGGCATAGCAGTTAAGCAGTGAGTAACCGTGCACAGTTAATCACATGTAGTCGTTTACTTCAGATTTGCTCAATCAGTCAAGAACTGTAGAATTTTCAAATTAATGAAACAGTAAGATGTAATTATACATCAATAGCAAATCAACATGTCTAATATTAGTCATAGAGGACTATGTTTATATTGCATGTAGTTTCTTTAGTGGAACTTCTTGCAGGCTTTTCAAGGACCTGCAGAGGTCTTTACTACAGGACTCACTGAAGTGCACAACAGCATAATGTAGCAATTAATGCTGACGCAGAGAAGGACTAATCTGCATTATTTATGCTAATCTACACAAGAAAAGGAACCATGTCATTAACCTGACTCTGTGATATATGGCGGCATGGCTGTTCAGCGATTCCCTCAGTTTTCTAAAGGGCTAGGGCACTGCAAAAGTAAGAAAGTGTAGGTGCGGTACATGCATTAACTCGTGAGTATGGATATATATTCATGCAGGTTTCTCAACACACAGCCACTCACATTTAGTGAGTTTACCATAAAGTCGTGCAGTGGTTATGGTACAGAACAGGTTGGTGTATGAATTACTGGACAAAGGCCAAGTGTGCGTGCATGCATGCGCCTGTGTGGTTGCTCAGATCCTGCTGTGTCAGCAGTTTTGGGGCTTCTGAGGTGACAGGAACGTCGATAATTAATACAGCAGGATTCTGGAAAGCCACCAGAACAGGTACTTAACTAGCAAACACACACACACCAGCATACACACAAAACAACAACAGGGATGAGTTTCTTCATACTGCATAGGCTTAATACAGTAGGCACTTGTTTGCGATGCTGTGTGTGTCTCTTCACCGTGAACTAGCGGGTCATTGACAAAGTAGAAAGAGGCTGCAATTGGGAGGCCTTTACAGTTTGTAATGGCCTAGCATGCATGATTGCTGAATGCCAGGTCAAACTATTAGACATCTTCTTAACTAATGCAGCTAATATGAGTAGATCTAAAGAAATGATACAGGTGGAGCTGTGTGAAAATCTTCAAATACATAACAAACAGGAAAATAAGAAGAGAAGCAGTGATGCAACTTTGAAAGTAAGTGGAGAGAAATTCAGGTCTGCATTTGTGCCAGTAAATCAAGGCTCTGTGTCCAGTTGACACCACTTTATTAGCTGAATACTCTGAAAGAAATGCTCATGGGGAATTGCTGGTCACAGTCTTTGCTGTTGCTATGCAACTGTTAAAACACCTATTTGTAGCCAACCGCTTGCCTGATATTAGTTGAAATATTTTTAACTTCTTAACTCACTTGGTGTAAAGTGCTTCATGTAAAAGGAACTTGACTTTTGAAAAAAAAATTGAAGCTCTTAAACCACGAATTATTCATCCAGAAGTTACTTTGTATTTTCAAGAGGGTAGTAACAGTGAAATGTACAAATTTGGCTTCAATTCCAACATTTGCACAAGAAGTATGAATATTTACATCTGACGAGCTTCGCCCAAGAGGAAGAACCCTTACTCAGGACTGTTGAACATGTTAATATTCCCTCTCGTTCTGACTCCATAGACCTTTCTTTGCTTCTCGTTACTTTAAACAGTGTTTTGAGTTGGGTTGTTTAACAGGACTCTTTGCACTCCTGTAAAAAATTAAGTACGCCCATTGATTCAGTAGCTTGTTGAACCACTTCTAGC